ATCATCATCCCAGTCCTATCCTCTTGCCTCTCGGTAGTTTGTTTCTTCATAAATTTATTTAATAGTTTATTCCTTTCTTCTCAGTCTTATTACCTTTTAATCCCCTATATGCTAGCCTAACCATCCTAAACCATCCCTTTCTAGTACTGGCAGGATGAAACACATTTAAATTTATCTACCAAGTCATCAAGGCCCCTCAACCTTGCCTACTTGAACTTGTCACCTCCCTCCTCTCCTGACCCCTCCTCTACATGCTTTTCCCTCCATAGCTGACTGGTTCACCTTTTCAGAATGCCCTCTCCTGTCTGTTGATACAAACCTGTTACTGCCTTCCAAACCATTTGCCAACTTCGTAATTAGTAATTCTTTGTAGTACTCACCACTGTATCTTGTTTTTGCTTTTAGTTGTGGTAGAATTGCTTCCCAATGTTTTATGTTACCCTGGCCATCTCAAACTGGAAGGCCTTCTGGGACAATAATTATATCTTCCATCTTTCTATTTTCAACATGACTGGCACATGATTGTGTAAGGGGGATGTGCACAAAAATATTGACTAAAAGAAAGAGCACATTTCCTGGATAATGCACCCTGACATGGACCTTTTCCTCCTGATTGCTCAGCCAGGCCACTGTTGGACTAAGCTGCTGCAAGTTTCAAATGAAGTAAGAATATTGAGCATGTGTGTGTGTGTGTGTGTGTGTGTGTGTGTGTGTGTGTGTGNTGTGTGTGTGTGTGTGTGTGTGTGTGTGTGTGTGTGTGTGTGTGTGAGAGAGAGAGAGAGAGAGAGAGAGAGAGAGAGAGAGGATTGGAGGGAGGAAAGGAATGAGTACTGAGTGTGTGCCTAACTAAAACACATTCCAGCGTCAAATTTACTTTGGAATTATTTGTAATGATGAAATTGAAATGTCCAGCTATAGGATAATATTTTGCAGCTATTAGATAATAATTCTGAGGCTCTGCAGAAACATGGAAAAATAACAGCACTCTATATGAAAAAGACTAGTGTGAAATCTACCACAGTGATGGTTTATATTGAGATGGTTCAATTTTGATTCATCCTCCAGCTCTTTCCCCATGTCTTTGACCATCAAAAATGTTTTCTCACTAAAATTGTGTATTAAAAATAATATAATATTTTTTTAAATAAGCGAAAAAGTCAATGGTTGACAGTTATATGCTGAGATAAAATTAGCCTTTGGCAAACTTGTTAATTATCATGATTAGATGACCCTTATACAGAATTCTTTAGCCAACTATTATTCCTTTGGGTAGTATTCCCTTCTGTGTTTTGCCTCTCTCCTGCCCCAATCTTCTCTAATGATGTCAGTTTGGATATTTTTTTAACTTTCCTAGAATACCTTGAATAAAACTTACCTGTCTTATTACCTCTTGTTCAGACAACCAGTTTTCCCTAACTAATGACATGGTAAATGCCAAAGAGTTAATATGCAGCCTCCCTGATGAACATACATCTAGAGATAATGACACAAAAGAATACTTTGGTTACTCAACCTCTTCAAATTCATTCATTCATTCGTCTCTGTCTCCTCCTTAATGATTTTGATGATGACCCAGAAGGCACACTTATCCTGTTTGTGGATAATTTGAAGCAGGAGATATAGAAAATGCACTAAATGGCAGAATTGGAGACCAGAAAGATTTCAACAGGCCAGAAAGATGGACTAAATCAAACAAGAAGTTTAATAAGATTGTGTATAAGGGTCTGCGATTTGGGCCGTCAAAGCCAGGGCTGTACAGTATAGCCAGATAACAGCTCTTGTGAAAACGCCTCCTGGGGTTAACCCAGAGTAAGTTCCCTAAGAGTGCAGGGTCTGAAGTAGCCGACAGAAAAAGCTTCTTTGATCTTAGGTTGCAGTAACAGAAGTACAGTGTCTATGTCACAGTCCATGGGGAGTAGAAGGAGATACGGGCAAACTAGGAGTCCAGCACTGGGGCACACAGCCTCACAAAAAAGCTGGAACCCCGAATAAATCAAAGTGAGATAAGCACTAACCTATGTGAGGAGCACATAATTGGGACCGGAGTGAGGTGTGGGGGGCAGAAAAGAGATGGCTCCCCAAGAAACTCCATCAGCAGAGCTTGCCACACCAGGTCTGTATGTGCATCGTATGAGCAGCCCGAACTGTCCTGTCGGGTGGCTATGTCCTGTGAGGTGTTCTTTTCATATAACACAGCAGGGTTTTATGAGCTCATTTGGTTGCCGTGGCCAACCACACATATGTATGCTATGCCTTGTGTAGCCACAGATATTATTATTATTATTATTATTATTATTATTATTATTATTATTTTGGTCTGAAGCTACCTAGCCCATGTGGGGATGAGATTCCTGGTTGAGCTCCAGTGACTGCAAGCTGGAGCCCTTCCACCCTTGGTCCCCTGCAGGAAGATGAGGCCCTGGGTTCTCTCTCGTCTCCCACACTGATGCTCCCACACTATTATTCCATCTTGAACATTAAAGCTGTTGGTTTTACCAAGAGTGTGCCTCTGAATAGGGACTAGAAAGAATCCTCAAGAGAATGTTTGTAGCTGATAACAAGAGAGAGTGTCTGGTTTTGCAGGAGATGAAATGTTCTTTTGTGTGTGGGCAGGAAGGAAGTAGATAGTCCACTTCAATAGCTTTTTATACGCACCAGTCATGTTGAAATAGATCTCTTCCATCTCTACTATCTATAAAACCTTTTTGTTAGTGATTTAGTTGGAGAGTACTGTAGCCCATTCTCACTCAAATGTTTTATCTCTTCTTTGGGGGGGAGGGCTGAGCGCCATACCTGTATTCCTCATCATTTTAGTTTAGATGTTCATTTATCTTGATACTAAAATTCATGTAAGCTAAAATGAAATCATGAGCAAACCTGGTGACAACCTGTAGTAGCATCTTGAGTTCTTTGTGAGGAAGCTAATGTGACTAACGAAAGAAGATGTAAAGAAATTGCTGACTAGTATCATAAAAAGCCTGCAACTTTTCAAAACACTAGTTGGGGGATTTGTGGAGGACCACTCAATGCAGAATGATTTTGGTGTGAAATAAGTGAGATTCAACTATGACTCTTTTTAACCTTAAATAATTGAGCAATAATTAGTGTTGTTGATTTGCATCAGAGATTATGAAAACTGTTTCAGCCATTCAACAACGACCTGTTCTGGCTTCACAAACGAACTCTGTACATTCATTTCTGAAGAGGGTATTTGGAGTGTTAAAAAAAATCAAATCGCACTTGAAAAGTTGTATTAAACTTTTGTAGGTTGTGCTATGGACCACTTTACCCCAGCCAGGGTCAGCTAAGTGTCTCTCCTGAGAATCCCTCCTCAGTCTTCCGGACCGGATAGACAGCCTCTTCTCTGTGCCCATGGCAAAGCCAAACCTCCCACCCCCACCCCCACTCCCACCCCCACGTGCTGTCTTGGCCCCTTTACGTGCCAACCTCCTTCCCAGATTCTAAGCCTCTTAGAAGGCAGACAGATCTTCCCATCACAGTGGTTTTGGCCCTAACACAATGCCTGGTCTCAGTGAGGTGGCAGAAGGGCCATGCTGACGCCTTACCCTTCGGAGGGGTGGGGGCAGAGGCAAGGAGCCCTGAAGTGAGGCTCTCCGGGTGTGTCCCAGACTGTGACCTGGGTTGCGGAACCAGGTTCCAGAAGGATCCACTGGTAGCTTCCAGCCCTTCGTTCCGTGTTTACTTTCAAGGAATGAGCCTGTGGTTTGGGAGAAATCAGGCCCGGCAAAAGCAGAGAAAAAGAGCCAGGGAGCGTGGTGAGGAGCACGGGAAAAATGGAAAAGCCAGCGGGCTAGCAATGACCTCGCGCGTCTTGCTTCCTTTTGACCCACGAGCGACTGTAGCTCTGGCGCCCCGGCGCCAGGTGTGCCGACACGCGTTTCCTGCGTGGGGCGGACGGTGGCAGGGACCTGTCCTTGCTCTACAGTGCAGAGGGGTGTGGCAAGTTCGAGTTGCCCAACCTTCCCGGGCGGGGAGGTAGTCCAGTCCTTCTGAAAGAGTCGCTGGCCCCGTTTAGGAGCCATCGCAGTTCCTTGTATCTACTTGACCATCTGGCAGGTTCCAATAGAACTATTTTTCAAGGCGGCGGTATTTACTGAGACACGGCTGCGCTGCTGGTTGAGCCCAGGACGCTTCTAGCCTTGGAGGTCGTGCAGACAAAATTAAAGAACAAAGTGGAATTAATGCCATCGCAAATGATCTAGTGCCTCAAGTTAATTTCACCTGGTTTTGTTCGAAGAGCAGCAATCTGCCGTCAGAAAGATTTTTTCGAGCATTTAGGGAATAAAGTTCTACGTGCTCGGCCCTTACAGGTTGTAGGAGCGGTTTCACGCCTCAGCTTTTAAAAAGGTATCATAATGTTACGCCTTGTTTTTCTTCTAGAAAGCAGAGGGTTTAGGAAATGACTTGGGCGGGAGCATCTGTGGCCGAAAAAGACACAGACGCACTCCCCAGGGACGGAAGCGGGTTCGTGGTCTTCAAGAAGGTGCCAGGCAAGCGTCCGGTGCCCTCCGGCGCTCCCGTTCCAGTCCCCGGTGCCGAAGGTTTCCGGCGCCTTCCTAGACGTCTGGGTACAGTCAGGGGGCTGGGTGGCAGCTGCACAGGCGGGAAGAGGAGGGAGCCGGACTGCCACTCACTCCTTGGTGCCAAGAACACCGTCTCGGGGGGCGCGGCCAGCTTCCCGCGGATCGGACTTTCCGCCCAGGGGGCGGGCGGTGGAACTCCAGTCCTGTCCCCTTCCCAGCCTCGGGCGGCCCCCGGGGCTGAGTAAAGCGGGTGGAGGGAGCCTGCAAGGATTTCCTGAGCACTAAGGGCAGGAGGAGGGACGGGGGCAGGAGGAGGAACCGGAGCAGGAGGGACGTGAGCGAGGACCCTGAACCTGCCCGGGGCCGCGCTCCCGGGACGCGTCTCCAGCGCCTCCCAGAGCACGCGCGCTCTCCGCCCCGCAGAGCGCTCGGCCCCGGCCCCCCGCCTCCCGCGGCCCCCGCCCCTCTCCGTAGCCTTAGGGAATCAGGTCCCGGAGGAAGAGGGTAGGTGGGGAGGCGGATGAGGGGTGGGGGACCCCTTGACGTCACTGGAAGGAGGTGCCGGGGTAGGAAGTGGGCTGTGGAAAGGTTATAAATGGCCCCCGCCCTCAGCTGCTCCTCGACGAGGTCCGCTGGAGTCTCGGAGCGCGCCCGCCGGACACTCCTCGCGGCTCTTTCCCGGTGGCGGCGGCGGCGGCGGCGGCTCGGAGCAGTCTTCCGGACTGAAGCGTAGCGGCCAAGGACGCGGAGCTGCGAGGATTACCCGGCAAGTGGCTGTCTTCCTGGCTGGAGCCGCGGAGAGGGGCGCTCGGGGCGCGGAGCCAGAGCGCAGAGCCGGCGGCAGCGGAGAGCAAGAAGACAGGATCCGGCGGCTGGATAGGTCTCCCGCCGGGAGCGCGGGCACCGGGCGAACAGGCCGCGTCGCGCTCACCATGGTCAGCTGCTGGGACACCGGGGTCCTGCTGTGCGCGCTGCTCGGCGGTCTGCTTCTCACAGGTAAGGCGCGGCCCGGGCCGTGATGGGGTGGCAGGGGCACAGCCTTGTGGCCGGGACCGAGGTCACTCGGGGAGGCGAGGTTTGGCGGGAACCTAGGAGTCGGGTCGCAGTGGGCACGCCTGGGGCTGTGGCGCCCTTCTCCGCTGGGTGGTCGGGGTGCGCGCCTCGCAAAGCAGCTGGCGGGCCCCACGGGCATCGTCGCCCTGGACAGCGCTGGGGCTGCCCCTTGGCGGCTGGAGTCGCTGATCCCTTCTGCCTGGCTCCGGGTTCGGGGAGCGCCGCGCACCCGGATCTGCCTGACCTCCAGGCCTGCTTCCAGGAGGCTTGGCGCTGGTCCACGGGGTCCTCCGGAGCCTGGAGGGCTCCGAACGTCCGTGAGGCCGCCGAGGGGCTGGGCTGAGGCCCGGCGGTGGGAATGTTGGGCATAGTACACGACGTCGCGCCTCGAGAGGGACGAAGGAAAGCCCGCTTGGAGGGGTTCGCGTGTTTGCCGGGAGCAGACAACCCCGTAGATGGCAAAAGCTGGTATCTTTCGACTCACTTTGAGTCCCCGAGCCCGACTGACCCCGGGATGGTCTACGAGCGTCCACTTTCCCGCGGCTCTCCCACCACCGGGCCGGAGCGCACAGCCGGCCATCCCACTGGAGCCTATGCCGCGGGGTCCAGCCCAGGTCGTTGACCTGAGTGAACCTGACCAACGAGGCCAGTCGAGAACCCAAATACCGTTAAGTTTCGGAATTGCAAGCCTAGCCTTTAAATTCCGAGAGAAGAAAGGGCGGACGATTTGGACCAAAAGATGCGGTTTGTGGAACCAGTGAGGCCCGCCACTTTTCTGGGCGTTAGGGAAACAGGCGGCAGAACCGTCCGGGCCAGGAGGTCGCACCGCGGTTAGGATGGAAGCCGCCCCAGAGAGGCTCCACAGCCCGCGGGGATTTCGGAGCTCCGACTCGCGTCTCTGCCTAGCGGGACCGAGTGGCCGAGCCCTTGGTTCAGTCCCCGTGGGCACAGACAGCCAGGTTTCGGAGCGCCTTTCATTTAAGTATCATGGAGAAAAGGTAAAATATGAAATAAAAGACAGTAACATGCATAAAATAAGTTATTGCACTGATCCCGGGAAGGAAAGTCAGTAGGAAAGTTGAGCGTTTTTTTTTTTAAATTCTTGTTAAAACTCCAAAGGCTGTAACAGCCAAATACTCTTTCTCAGTGGGAAGACTAATTAGATCGTCAGTTTCTAAATAATAAGCTATAGTTTCAATTCAATCGGTGAAACCATTAAACCTAGAGATAAGACGAAGTAATTCCGAGAACTCGCTGTAGGTTGGGAAAGTTGCTAAAACAACTATATTAAATGAAATGTTGCTTTTCTAATTCAAAAATACATTTTTGTTTTAAAAAGTCACTTTTTTAATAAAATTGCTTAAAGCATTTAAATAACTTACTGAAGTCCATCTGTACCGAAAGGTAAATCTAGATAAATTGCTGTGAATCCAAAGAATGGAGGGAAGAGTATGTTTTATTAGATTTTCTGCTTCACGCAGATATATCTTTATTTTTGTTTCAAAACGGTGGTTGACTAGTGAAGTATGGCTCTCTTCTTTATTAGGGGCTACTTATATCGGTGGAAGCTTTTCAGAAACGTGAGATCCCATTGTGATTTCTCTTAGATTTTATTTTACTTAAATGAAGCAGAAATCTTGGAACTCTTGTGATTAAAAAAAAATTTACACGTGTTATAGGAAGAAAGCCAGACAAAACACTGGCAAGGTGAGAACCTCTTTATCTGCCGGGTTAGGGACCGGTTCATCAGCGGATGGTATTTTGTAATTGAGAAACCTGCCTTCCTAAAACCACAGGCTTCTCGGTCGGGTGAACAGACATCTCACCGTCAAACAGTCGCTACGGACTTTCTAAACCATATCAGGGCTTTTGAACTGAACCCAGGGCTGCCGCTCTGGGGAGGGGACCTCGAAAGGGGCCAAGTTTCTGACCTGTGGATTTATCGGGAGTCTCGCATGCAGCCATCCTGGGTCAGGGCCTGCTCGCAGCCTTTGCAAATTTATCAGTTATTATGACTCTGTGTGTGTGTGTGTGTGTGTGTGTGTGTGTGTGTGTGTGTGTGTGTAAGGGGGAGTGGGGGGGAGTGATGTGCACAGGTGCATTGAGGGATAAAATAACCAGAGGTTCAGTAATACAAAAAGAGAATGCATTTCCCCCAAAGAGTATATTTACCTTTTTCGAAATACCCTGGGAAATAAAAAGATGCTAATAATTTAGGTACTTTCAACTCCTCTACATTGTAATCTTCCTCTAAAAAAAAAATGCCCTCTTTTTCTCCAAAGCCTTATTTTCTTACTTTTAAGGCATCACGCACAAGATTAAAGCCACAGACCCTTTTTTTTCTGTCGCTATTTTTCTTGCGTTTTTGAGTAGCTAACATTTACAATTTGCTATAACTAACTGGAAATGCTTCGCTTGGAAATTTTGTGAGGGAGATCTACATTAATAACATAAAGTTAAATGAAAATGATACCCATTTCTAAATTGAATGTAATAAATCTCATAATAAAGCTAATTTTACATCACAATTTGGGTTGTTTTCCCCAAGGATTATGCAGCCACACTTTTTTGGTTGTGTTTTTCAATTGCATATGTGAAATGTTAATTATTTAGCACCTATGGCAATCTGCTTAGTTTTCTAACTGATGGATTCCGTTGAAGGTGAACTGTAGGTAGTCACCTACTTACTCTAGTTCCTCAATATTTTTCACCTTACTTATTATTATTTGAAGTTTTGTTCTTACCCTGTAGGCTACCCAGTTTCTTTTCTAGTGAAAATTAAGCAACTTTTTGGTTTTCGTATGTAAAATTCAGAAGTTAGAATAGATGGTTATTTCTAAGGCCCTTCCCAACTCTAAAATTTAATGAATGATTCCAAGAAATAGGCTGAACAGTGTCTATCTCCCTTTTTCCTCCTCCCTTACCTACATTTGCACATAGCATGGATGGGAAGCTGAGAAGCCAGAGCTGAGGCTGGAAGGATGAACTGGGTTTCCCCCGCTGTCAGTAATCACACGGCATTTTCTTTTTCACTAGTAGAACGCATCTAACCAATTAATTAACTGGGTCTCTGGTGGGCTGCACAAGCTCTTGGAGGATGCCCAAACCTCTAGTAATCATTATCTTGGTCTTTTATTAGCAGAATGTGTAACTCTAGGGAGTAGAATCTACTTCATAACTCTAGTTACAGTATCTCTTCTAAGGATTTCTTTTTTTTGTGATCAATGCTCACTTATTTGATCCAAAATAACTTTATGTTAAAAGAGTTTTAACTTCAATGAGAATACGAAACCCAATTGAACCTATTTGATAGGACTTTTTAGAACCAAATAATCTCTTTGTTCCCCTTACCAGAAACTATGGAGAGATTCTAAATCTACTTTGGATGTATATAATAACAAAGTTGAAAATGGTATGTTGCAAAAAAAAGGTTTTATATAGACCCCCAAAAATGTCATGTCCTTGATTGAGGAATGTTCTCCAACCTCTTGTAGCCATGGCTGATATCTACTCTGGCTTGGGAAAGTTCTACAAAGCAAGAACAAATAACAGAGCGGTAGCTTCTATAGTGCTTTAAGCTGAGATGTGTATGTGACTGGGCATAAGAATGGAGAGAAAGTGAGTTGGCACTTGGGTGTGAAATGCAAAGCTTGCCGTTAGTCAGGTTCTTGGTTCAGTTGCAGGGTCAGGAGTTGGTTGGATGTCAAGTACACATCATAATTTTTCAGAGTATTTGTCTTTGTAGATAGGGGAGGAAGGACATTTGTAATAACACCTGGCTTTATTTTTTTTATATTGTTAGGGATATATTCTTAGGGATGGTTCAAAGCACTAAAAGCACCTGTTGCACTGGGTTTAACCAACTTAACAGACCGATCCAGTCTGTCCCACGGGCCCTGGTATAGTGGTGAGCGGGGGACGGAATGAGGGGATCTGCCAGACGCTTTCCAGGCTTAGGGCTGATTCCTCACACAGTAGGGTGCCTTGGAAATTGCATGCTGCTGATTAAATTACTGGGTTTTATACCAGATTGAGGGAGGGGAAGGAAATGGGAGGATTGGGGTAATTGAGGGAGGGCTTGAAAGGACAGCCTCTGGCTTAGCATCTGGGAGTGCTAAGGGGGGTTTCATTAAGGAAATGGTTCCATTGAGTCTTCTGGAGATAGTGGACTAGATTTCCTGCATTGCTGCTGGGGCGGATGTCGGGGGATGTCAAGAATTCCTGGGGATTTCCCATCAGTCTTGGTGAAGCCATTTCTGATTATTGCTCCTCTCCTTGATGTTCTCGAGAGATTTGATCTTGTCTCACAGACACACACATTGGGAGAGCGAGATGGAACCATGTAGATGGAATCTACTCACCTCAGAGATGAGAAATCTGCCCAGAGCCGTTTAGTGATTTTCCACGTCCCACAAGGTCAGTAACTGGCTAGTGGCAGACCTAGGAACAGATCCCAATGCTCATACTACAGATAACATCTCTTCTTCATTTTTGTACTTCCTCTATCCCAGACAGAGGAGAGGTGTTCAAATATTTGTTGAGAGGCTTTATTATTACAGTGCTAGAATTTCTTGTTAAACTCCAGCATCTTTTTCTAATGTGAAATTTTCATCGATGTCCTTAAAGCCGGTAGGGGTTTGAATTAAGACTATTTGGATTATGGCTGCTCGGTAGGATGCTGGGAGATTCGGTGAGATTTATTTTCCTTGTGAGTAGTTAGGTCCTTCTTTTGAACTGCTGTGCCTTACATAGCTGTGGTTTGCAATACCAGCTTCGTCTTCACACACCGTGTCCCGGCTACACAAACTCTACCCCAGTCAGAAATCATTCACCCTTCTTCATACGGGCCTCGTACTTTCATTGCTCCGTGTAGGTACTGCTTGTCGGCTAGACCCTTTTCTCCCTCTGCATCGCCTCCTTGCCTGCCTTCAAAATCCAGCTCA